AATTTCGCTACCCAGTGTTTGGCGGTTAATTTTCCTTTTAAAAAAATCTCATGTTCAAAAATGTACATAATGTTATACATGAATGTACATAATTGTATAACAAAATATACATACTGTTTTTTAAAAGATAATACACATAATCTAACATAATACATAATAAACATAAACCTTTAACATAATACACATCAACTCTTAACATAATACACAAAAATTTCCTGATTCGGATGTACATAATTGTAAAAAAAAATGTACATAATTGTATAAAAAATGTACATAATAAAAAATATACATAATTGTATGAACAAATATACATAATCACAGCAACTTCCTACCGCGCCTCTCAAAACGACGTCGTTTTGGGAGGCGCGTGACGCACAGTGCTACGTGCGCCGTGGTGTAGGATATAACGATTGGTGAAACTATACCCATCTATACCTACACGTATGATTTCCAAAATATGCCCCTTAGAAATTATAGTTACTAAATAATATACAAAGTAGTACATAGATCAATAGATCAAAAGAAAATTATGGATCTCAGTGTTGCACTAAGTCAAGCATATTTAACTACAGATTTTTTGGCTATTTGGTTGTCATACCATACTTAAAACCAAGGGTGATAAGTAGGTAGATATTAACCATTTATCCGCATCCCTCCATAGTAAGTCAAGTGTCACGTCTCGAATCGAGTAGAGGCTGAACTCGACCAATCCTACCAATGCCGAACAGAAAACACTTAAAACACTAAATTGAAGTCTCATTGAAAACAAACTATAATATATAATACATATATACAATAAATTCTCAGGTTTATGCATGCATGGGTATAAATTCATAAAAACATATATAATTATTATTTTTTTTACCGTATACATAATATATACTAACTAGAGTTAAATGAGTTTCGGTTTAATCTTAAAACTTGAACGTTTTTTTTTTTTTTTCTACAAAATAATATTCAGTTACCATTCTATAAACCATAATTTATAACAGAAATACAGACAGAATTGAGCCCTGTTATTTGAACAGTGTCGGTGGAACATATTAACCGTGAATGTTTCTCCACCTCTGGCATTACCGCCTATTTCCTCGCCCGTTCATTTCCATCATTTTCTTCTTTCAATTTTTTTTTTTTTTTTTGGGTTTTTTAATTTTTATTTTAATTTTTATTTTTTTGAAAATTTAAACATTATGTAAAATATACTCCATGCTATGCTAACAGAAGAAAATTTGACGTTCTGAAATATACATATCGTCGCCGTCGATCATCGTTTGCAGAAGACTCCATCTTTTTCAATCAAGCTTCAGAGATTGCAGACAATTAATTTGATTTATTTAATTTAATACGTCTGAATATTAATTGTTTTGTTGCGTGCATGGGGGCAAGAATCTGTTCCCTCCCTTCATTGACGTTCATAGCAGTAGTTCCGCCATTGGAACCAAATTTGCAGGCTGTTTTTATGATGAACAGCCCAGAAAATTTATGGGCTAGCTCTTTCATCTTTAATGGCATTTAGCAGGAGGTGGAAGGTTCTTCATCATGTCCAGGTAAAACCCATGTTTTTTCTTGTGGAATTCTCAATCTTTCTGGTTCAGAATGAGATTAACTTGAGCAATGGCAGAAAGTAAACAAAAACAAAATTAATGTGGTTTGGCAATGTGCTTATATCTATGGGAACGAAACTGTTGTTTTATTAATTGTCCAGAAGTATATGTCTCTGTGAAACTTTATTTTCTTATATATCGGTCTCCATCCAACAATTATGATAATGATGATTTAATATTAGTTACAAACAACATATTTATATGCAACCCTAAACATATGAATGCACAAAATTAATGGAACTTCAGATACAAGATTACATATGTACGTATACATGTTTAGGGTTGCATGTATATGTTGTGTGTAACTCCATCATATCATTACAAATAATAAAAGAAAAGAACTGAATGTGAGAATTTTGTCTATCTTTACTTAATAATAAAAGAATTGAATGTGAGAATTTTGTCTATCTTTACTTGATTTTATCTCAACAGTACAGTACACATTCCATATATGATCATGGTAATTAATTCAAGAAAATTGTTGTTTTATTTGTGGTTTTTTAATTTGATGGTAGAAAATGCGATTGTTGATATGGGTGTTTGAGGGGAGGAAGAAGAGGCTGTTGTGTGATTAGAGGAGATTATTGTGATCAGAGATCAAGGGCGGATCGGAATTGAAGTTTGTTTGTGTAAATAATAATAATAATGGCGGATAGGGGGGCGGTGATGGCTTCCCGGAAGAAGATGACGAAACAGCTGACCGGAAAACGGGAGGACACGGTGTTGCATTCGGCGGCTCGGGCGGGGAACATTGCGGCGTTAAGGGATATGGTTGACCAGACGACGGGGGAATTGGAAGAAGAGGCGGCGGAGATGCTAATAAAGCAGAATTCATCGGGGGAAACCGCCTTGTATGTGGCTTCAGAATATGGGTATGTTGAACTGGTTAGGGAGATGATCAAGTATTATGACCTTGTGGCCGCCGGAATCAAGGCCAAAAATGGCTTTGACGCCCTCCACATTGCTGCCAAACAAGGCGATTTAGGTATCTATATATCTTACTTTCACTACTTAACATATATAATGTAGTATATATATATATATATATATATAACAACATGACTCATGATCAAATGAGTTCACCCCTTCCTATGAGTTTGTGTAGACAAATCTGGGTCATTGAATGCTGAGATTAATGGCATAGATTTTGCCAGTATTGCAAAATGTGCAAGGCGAACTGTGCCACAGTTGCACAACTGGTAAAATCTAAACCATTGATCTCAAATATTTAATGGCTCAGATCTGTCCACACAGATTCATAAGAAAGGGTGAACTCACCTGAACAATGGCCTAACAACATTATATTACTTTGATAATGATGGAAGAGATGGTGAAAGTACTAATGGAGGTTCATCCGGAGCTGTCGATGACGGTTGACGTGGCGAACACGACGGCGTTACACACGGCGGCCACGCAAGGGCACATAGAGGTGGTGGATTATCTGTTGGAGATAGAGGGCAGCCTGGCAGCCATAGCTAAAAGCAATGGAAAAACAGCTTTGCATTCAGCTGCCAGGAATGGGCATTTCCAGGTTGTGAAGGCTATATTGAGTAAAGAACCCAGGCTTGTTAATAGGGTGGACAAAAAAGGTCAAACCGCCCTTCACATGGCGGTCAAAGGCCAAAATCTCAACGTCGTCGAGGCTCTCATCCAAGCTGATCCTTTCTCCGTAAATATGGTGGATACTAAGGGCAACACAACATTGCATATAGCAGCTAGAAAAAGCAGAGTTCAGGTATAGCAATTAATTAGATTGATATTTTGTTGATTAGATTGAAATATGTAAATGATGAAGTAAAAGTGTAATGTATGCATGCATGCAGATTGTGAAGATGTTATTGGAGCTGGAACAAATGGACACAAAAGCAGTGAACAGGTCAGGAGAGACAGCTCTAGACACTGCAGAAAAATTGGGGCATGGCGAGACGGAAGCCATGCTGAGGGAGCACGGAGTGCAGAGCGCCCGTGCCATCAAGCCGCCGGTGGTGACAAATCCGGCCAAGGAATTGAAGCAGACGGTGAGCGACATAAAGCACGAAGTCCACTACCAGTTAGAGCACACGAAGCAGACGAAAAGGCGCATCCAGGGAATCGCGAAACGCCTGAACAAAATGCACGCGGAGGGGCTGAACAACGCCATAAACTCGACGACGGTGGTGGCGGTGCTGATAGCGACGGTGGCGTTCGCGGCCATATTCACGGTGCCGGGGCAATACGTGAGCGACCCAGAGGATATCCTGCCGGGGCAGTCGTTGGGAGAAGCCAACATATCGCCGACATCGCCGTTCATGATCTTCTTCGTGTTCGACTCCATCGCGCTGTTCATATCCCTGGCGGTGGTGGTGGTTCAGACGTCGGTGGTGGTGATAGAAAGCAAGGCGAAGAAGCAGATGATGGCGATCATCAACAAGCTAATGTGGGTGGCGTGCGTGCTCATCTCGGTGGCGTTCTTGGCACTATCGTTCGTGGTGGTCGGGGAGCAAGAGCGGTGGATGGCCGTAGTGGTGACCATCATCGGAACCACCATCTTGGCTACCACTTTGGGGACCATGTGTTACTGGGTCATCATGCATCGGATTGAGACTTCCAGCAGCAAGAGGCGTGTCAGAAATACCTCTCGCCCCAACAGATCAAGGTCCTTCTCAGGCTCTGTCTCAGATTCAGAGCTACTCCACAATGAATTCAGGAAAATATATGCTATATAGATTATAGAGAGAGTATATAATAACATCAACAACCTTCCCTGCTTAACCTTGCCCGCCCGCACCGGGTAACTCTAACATTGCTTTGTACAGACCAATTTCATGCTTACAAAAATCACATCTTCGTCATCAATATATACAATTCTATTATTTCATTCTAAAAACTATAACTATAATTCCATGTACAAAACAATAAAACATTATTACATGGCCTGTGACCACAAATGAAAAGTACATTTTTAGTATACTAAAAGCACATTATTTGCGTATGTAAAGTACATTATTTGAGTACTGAAAATACATTATTTTATATACTATTAAATCATATACATTCAATACAAAAATAATGTGCATGTGCTATTCATTGTCCACACAACTATGTTGACCAGAGTCCACACAATTGCCCCACCATATATTACATTTTGGGTGATCGGTACAACCCGTATATGGGGCCGTGCCCAAATACTATATAGCACATAAGTCATACTTGGGCCAGCCCATACAAGTTGTGCCCGTGCTAGGTCATCATATAAATCTAGCTCACATTGACATCTCTAAAATACTGTTCTTATGGAATCATCAAATATTTGCAAATAGACAGAAGTTAATCAACCAAAAAAAAAAAAAAAAAAAAAAAAAAGATATGGATCTGAAATAAAAAGGGTTGAATACACAGAATACTAAAACAGAAAACTTCAACTAATAACAGTTCAAGATTATCAAATAAAAGATACAGCATCTACATTTAAACCCAAATGAGGCAAATACTACTAACAATGGATAAACTGAACAACAAACAAACTACAGGTAAAAACTACCCGGTTATAGAATTTACACTGACAAGTACATCTCCAAGGTTAATGTTGAGGTAGCACAGGTCTTTTCTCCAACGTCTCATAATGTACCACAAAATTATCCTTCATTAAAGTGCAACATCGTATTAACAACCCTCGTATGACTAAAGAATAGGATACTCAAGTTAGTGATGTACCGAGGAATGCATACCTTACGAACAGTTTCCCATGTGTTTGGGTCAAAACAAATATAAGACCCTCTCTCGTATGTATTGGTCTTGACAAGAGGCTCCATATTAGTAACCCTCATAAACCACAACCGATGCTCTCTGTGATAAAACCACCCTCTGTTATACCTGCAACAAAATGATGCAATACCGCATTTTTAACCAGTGAAGCCCATAAAAGGAAGTCCACTTGCAACACAAAAGGAAAAACAGAATTTAGACGGTGGAGAGAGCATACAATTCGTTTGCTGCATATAGTTGTGCCTCATCTTTTGGCATGCTGCAAAGTTAGGAAGATATCTTAGAACTGATTGTAGTACTAGGAGAACAAGTCATACTTTATCTTAATACTTGCCTATAAAATATATAAAACAAAGTATCCAACTGAAACTTTGAGAAGTACGCTTGCTGCATCCAATATAGAACATATTAGTGAGGGAATTTTTTCCTTTTTTAAAGGAGGAAAATCAATTTATAACAGAAATATAAAAATAGCTGACATTCAGAGGAGGTGGTTGTTTCGCGTAATAACATTGAGGCACATTGAACTCTGGATCACCCTTGGCAGGCTCATCAGACCACGGTGAACCAAATGTCTTGTGCAGATTATCAGCCGAGTTCAAGTTCAATCCCAGTGTTGTCAGGTCAATTCCAAGAGCAAGGGATGTAAGGTTGGGATCACTCATTCTTATAACACTTAACAAACCAAGCAAGCCATATGGGTCTGGAGTAACTAGCGGCTGTAAGGATTTCATGCCCTGATCCCTGTATGGCTGACCTACAGCAGACATTTGTTGCAGACGGAATTGGGGTTGATTTTGGTGCTGCTGATACTGCTGGATTAGTTGGTCATAGGAACCAATACCAGAAGCAGAATTTGGAGAATTAAGAGGTCGCAACCCTAAGCCAGAGGATGCACCAGGCTGTAGAAAGTAAAAACCAGAAAACAAAAATATCAAATCAGTGCAACACACTTGCACCCTTCTAGCAAGAGTGGGATCCACAAACTTTTTAACATCAGTGGAAACAGAAGATTGCTGCTTTCTCCATAAAGCAGCTTAATCATGATTCAGATTTTGTTTAACATATAAAACATCAGACAAGCACACTATTCCCTGGTTCTACCCACCTTTAACTACGAGCACCAACATAAAGACACCAGAAACTATATTTCCAATTCAGAGGGGGAAAGTAGTATGCACCTGCTGGTGAAAAGTTGAATGGGATGGTTGAAAGACATCTGAACCATGTGAGTGAAGTAGATCTTGATTATTTACATTTGAAAATGAGACACCACTACTGCTCACTGATGAATGCTGCTGTGGGCGATGAGATGAATAAGTTCCTCCTAAGCTAAAACTAGCAGATCTTCCCATCTACACATTGAATCACCAGTTATGAAAGCAGAAATAAAAGAAAATATAGTGAAAAGAGATTACAACAATTAAGGGTAAAGCAATATCTGATGAAACAGTGCTTACAGAAAAATGTTGCTGCATCATAGGAACAGAATTATCATGATGCTGTTCTTTCTGGTGTAGATCCATAGCAAAATCGGAATTGCCACCTAAGAAATCAAGTAGATAGTCAATGATAAACTCCAACTTAGCTGAAAAAGATAAAAGAAACTTAAATTCCATTTAACAAACTCAAAATACTTGGGTGTAAAATTCTAATGTGTAATCAACAAAATGAAGGATCAACTGGTTGCATGTATCGGCCTGCTCTTTATCCTCTAGATCACATGGTAGATAGGGTGAATAAATATGTAAATTCAGCACCCATACTGCTGCCACATTCTGTATAAATCAACACAGTGAATACAATCACAAATGAACTGTATGCACCTTTAAACCCTGGCAAAGCTGGAAAATCTTCATTTTGAATGCTGAACTCCTGATTTTGCTGAACAATAGGACTAAGGCCTTGTTTTCGCAATGAACCTGGAAGTGATCAAATACATCAGTGACCTGATAGCATTGTTGATAAACATACCTGAACAGAATGTGCCCAAAAAAACAAAACAGAAAAAAAAGATTTACCTATTTGTCCTTGAGGGCCTCCAGCAGAACTAGGGCGGCTGGATAGTTGAGGGAAATCATTGATATCAAAAGGGGCATCATTTGAATTTATATCATTCAACATTCCCATAGAGTTAAGATTGTTGACTGCTTGGATATGATTTTGAGATAGTGGGCCACCAGCAGGGGGATACGAGGTTCCTAACATAGACATCACCTGTGGAGAAGCTGAATAGAGAGACATCATTATTAGTGTAAAAGATGGACTAAGTAAAATGAGAAATTCTGTTACACATGTTTCTTCAAGTTTATATACCACTAAAGAATTTACAGCACCATCTAAAATCCCATAATGACACAATCTAATCATGTTACATTTGAATGAAAATAGGTAGCAGTGTGAAACCAGTGAATGCGAAAGGCAATTCTGTTTTGCAAACCTAGCATTTCTCAGCTTAAGATATATTTATACTTCAATTTAAAGACTATCTATCCATTTATAAACTACCACAACCCAAATTTATTGTTGGCTCATTTGATAAGATGCTCAAGACAACCAATTACAGAAATTTACCTTGTTGAAGAGAACCACTCATTAGCCTATTTGGTCCTTGAATATTCAAGTTTCCAGAACCACTATTGGCAGTCAAATTCAAACGTGATGCCAGACCAGGCACAGACAGTACACCAGAGCTAATGTTCCTTCCCATGTTCCCCCCACCAACTATGTTTCCAACTGAGCTTGTCATCCTTGGCCCGGCATTTCCCAAAACCGGGGACACTCCAAGTCCTGGGACAGCACTTCGATTACCAATAGCAGCAGAAGTTGGAAGAATTCCAGGAATTGAACCACCGACTCCATTTGTGTTACTGTTATACCCTGGGTTCCCTACAACACTTAAACCACCTCTACTCGTCATCCCTGTATGACCATGTGAACTGCCATGAGATATCTGCAAATTAGTAGCAAATGAAACAATAAGAAACCTTTAGAGGCACATGTTTCAAAAACACCATTGAAATGTTTTCTGAAATTGTAAGAAAATTATCATCCCCAACTCCCTAAGCCAATACTGTCTTCACATCTCACAAAAGTTTAGCAAAGAGCTGAAAGTAATCTTATCCCCCATCAATTGTTTTGGATAAATTTAAGAACATTCACTCTGATGCCTTACAAGACTTCCAGATCCCCAAGAACAAATACCTGGGAAAGAGCAACTGGAAGATTGTTTGATGTGAACCGACCACTAGAAAGGCTATTCCCGGACTGCTGAACACTGCTTGAAGGTATGTTTATACTTGTGTTCCTCGATCCAAGTGTACCTGGCATACTGGGAACATTGAAATTCCCATGAATATTATGCAGCCCCTGCACACTTCCTGTGAAGAAGAGCTTTGTAAATCATTGGCTTAAAAAGCATAAAGACATCATAATCCAGTAAACAACTTACCGGAGTGATGATAAACAGGAGATGCTGCACCAGACTGAGCTGAGAATGATGTGTAGGAGCGCCCAGAGTTGTCGGTAAGATTTGAGGTTGATCCGTTCAAAGATGACTACAACCAAGTTAAATAAATCAAACTTCAGCATAATGGGGCATGGAATGAAACAGTGTGTCCAATGACCATCAAGGCCAAAAAAGAATGCTTCTTTTATGACTTGAAAGATTCTAAAGCATTATATTTGTATCTCAGTTATCACAAACAATGCTGGTAAAGCTCATACTAGGCATTTCTTGTCCAGGATCCAAGACAGCCATGTACTTTACATTCTAAGACTGAGATTAATAATTATTTTATACATTGAACTAAAAGTCTAACAACACCATGCAGTGCTAATAATCATACTCACATCCCAAAGAATTTTAAACACAGTAAAAAAGGAAAATTAGATATGTACTGATATGCATAGCATGAGTAAAAATGTTCATGTACAATGTAAAAGGTAGAGTTTAGATTCTATCAATTAGATTCTGAAACAGGAAAGGAAAATGACAAAAATAAAATTAGTAGTTTAGTACTAGATAGATATTGCAATCTAGATTCTAGAAGGAATAATACATTAAGCAACCCTGACATTGTAGAAATGTCAAGAGGTCATGCAGAACTTTTTCCAGGTGGAGCGGCAAGTTTTCTTGCTTTTCTTCTGAAAGATTTTGGGATAAAATTTTGGAAGCTTTTCCGACGTGAAATTACCTATAATGCAAAAAGGAGGACGTTATTGGAACAGCCAGTCAAAGAGAAATATAAATGGTAATATAATTGGAAGAGCAAATCAAAAATAATTATTAGAAGTTACATTCTAACAAGAAACCAATAATAAATTAAGACCCTAAAAAAGTCAGGAATATAGTCAAAACACATGGGAAACATAAAAACCACCAACACAAGGCAAATGCATTGAGAGTGAGACAGTAAAAATTCCATTGTTACGGATAAGAGTTAATTTTTTTAAAGTTTTAACACCTGTCACACAGGAGTTTTGTTCAAGGTTATCAAGGCGGACTTTCTAGGCGAGATGCCACCGACTGCCTAGTCGACTAGGCGACCGCCTAGGCAATGAGTATTAAATAAATAAAAAGTATATATATATATTGAAAATATCTTGTCTTGGGCAGCCTTTTTGCTGGCCTATTTACTTTAAGTAGATGAATAGTTTTTCCTAGAATAGTGAGAAGTCTAGTATTTATTGTATATTGAAAATATCTTGTCTTGGGCAGCCTTTTCACAACCCTATTTACTTCAAGTTGTCTTTAGAAGATGAATAGTTTTTCCTAGGGCGGTGAGAAGTCTAGTATTATTGATAACATGCCAGAGTGAGGTAGTGGGCTTTGCTCGGAACAAGAGGACGATGCCGGAGCTTGAACCGCGCCGCCGCTGCTCCGACACCACGCGCCGGCGCGTGAGGCAGATTCCGGCGACTTCTCCGGCTGGAAATTACACCAGCCAACTCGCCTTAGTGACGTTAGTTCGTAGGTTCTGCCCATGTATGTTTTGTGGAGTTTGGGGTTGTATTCTGCACTTAGGCGAGGCGAGCACATTAGGCGTTCGGTCTTGACCGACCGGACGCCTAGGCGACGCCTTGATAACACTGGTTTTGTTGCTAATGATTTTTCACCAATACTTTCCCAGTGAATTTCATTCGGCAGGCCACCCCATCCCCACTCACAAACCTCAAAAAGAAATAGAAAGAACTCAAAAAAGAGAAATTAATCGGGGATAAAAAGGTTTAAATTTGGCAAGGTTGAAAAAATCGCTAGGTGCCTGGGGACCGCCTAGGGCGCCTAGGTGGCCGACCGCCTAGGCCCGATTTTTGCAACATTGAAATTTGGTGACAAACAGGCTACCAAACACGAAAAGAATTATTTTTATAAAAATGTCAAAATGAGGAAAACTTAATGACATAATTCCCAATCTAATTATGTGAATCCATTTTATATTTGAAGACTTTCCATTGGCTTTCCATTACAACATGGAGCATTGACACCACAACAAAATATGATTTCACGAGCATAAACATGAAGTAATGTAACACCCCTCAAAAAAAGTTTGTAATTTTCCCTTCTTTAGCAATTCCATTGAAATTAATATATGCTCACTAATATCATCATGGAACAGCTAGATTGTTATTTATCCACTGTTTCCGATGGCAATAGTGGAGGAGCCAAAGTTATTGGAGGGAACAAAATTTGGAAACAATAGAGGCATATCAATTTTCAAGTTACACAGGGTGATTAAGGATGGCAGCATAGTAGTTATTTAAGTAACAAAATAACTTGGTGTAAAAAGTGAAGCATTTATTTCCTCTCCTTTTTTGCGGCATTTGTAAATACAGGCTGTTGAAGCAAACAGGGGGGGCAGGTAGAATATCAAAAGTATCAGATAATCAATGACCTAAAGGCTTGGAACTAGACCAAGGAAAACAAGCTATCCAAGAATTTCTGCCCCAACTATACCATCTCAGTCAAGCTCAGTGATTTTAATATGGAATCGGTCTTGATCAGTGTTGCAAAAATCGGGCCTAGGCGCCGATTACGCCCGCCTAGGTGCTCTAGGTGCCGATTAATCGCTCTAGGCGCCCGCCTAGGCGCTCTAGGCGCCCTAGGCGGTCCCAGGCGCCTAGCAATTTTTTCAACATTGGTCTTGATAGTTCAAATCTTTTCAACCTTTTGCTCCAATTCCAACAGCTCAAATCAAGTTGCACATTGAAACTCAAAGCAAATGCCCTGAGGTTACAGTCCCATAACTCCTATTAACTATACATAGCGCATTTCACAGGTACAGAATTCACAGTCTGCACTTCAACTGCAGATACTGTCCATTAACATTTGCAAATGGAAGACAAAAGTTATACATAACCTTTTATTCATCCCAAGCGGCAATGTGGGATTATAATCAACTGAGATAGTTTCACCAAAATTCATTCCAAAAAGAGCACCCTAAAAAATTTTCATTTCTCAGATACCGCACAATCCAAACCCAAATTACCTCCTCCTCGTCCTCCCCAAAGCTCAAACAAATTTGTGAAAATTTATACATAGACATACACAGCAACACGCCGAATACGATACTGAAAGTGAAAAGAGGAAGATGCGTAAAACCCTAAGAGCTAATACCTAAACTTATTCGTATAGCCAAAAAAACAAAACAATAATAATAATAATAATATGTTGTCCGGTATGTATTTGCGTGTATAGATACAGAAAGAGAAATAGAGTGTGGAGAGAGGTGATTACCAGACGCAGATCTGTGAAAAGAAGATAGAAGACTCTACTGGTCGACGACAGAGACGAGCCAAGAGGATCGCGAAGACCAAAACCCGAAAAAAAGTGGGAAAATAATAATTAATGTTAATAATAATAACCTGTAAGAAAATGCGCATTCCACAGTGGTGATTGGGCGTGTCCCTCAGATGATGACGTAACCATCTCCCACAAGACTAATTCCCGTCCCTAAGTGGTAGGGGATTGGACAAATGATTTGGTTAATGTGTAGGAATGATATTGCTTGGACCCCTAAAGTTATGATTATAGTTTTATTTGGCAATCAGCAAATAGTGGTTAACGGTTAGTAGATTGTGTTAGTGAATAGCGAATAATGGATTGTGTAAACGGGTTTGACCGACAAATTGTATTAGCGGTTTGTAAAGAAATATTTAGTAAAATTAGTTGTTTACTATTAGCGGTTGAGATGCAAAAGACTTATTAGGACATTGCTACAACAACAACTACAATAATAATACTTCGTAATAATTTAATAAATAATAATAATATATTACTATTACTATTATTATTATTATTATATTATTATTATTATTGTTATTGTTAATGTTGAAAAAAATACAATACATTCGGTGTGTGGTAGGCTAAATTAGTAGGAGTAATATTCGGTGTGGGTAGACTAAATTAGTAGGAGTATATAATTTTAAGTAAATAAATATGTTAAAATTTTGTGTAATTTTATTGCTCTATCAAGTCCCTTAATTACTTTTTCAGCATTAAATTTCTTTATACTAGTCGTGATTTTAATCCGAATATTCTAAAATTTTAAAATTTTCTGTAATACGTATTAATTTTAAACAAATAAATATATTACAATTTTATATCTTAAGGTCTCTAACTTGTTAATTTCTATTTCAATATTTTTTATTTCTTGAACAAATTCATTTATTTGTTGGATTATTTCTTTAGGATTTTTTCATTGAAACTTACTATTTAATTCTTTAATAATTTCATAAGACCTTTCAATTTCTGCTAAGGCTTCTTTATTTAATTTTATTGCTTTATCAAGTATTTTAATAACTTTTTCAGGTTTAAATTTATCCCACGGGTCATTTTAATATATTTTAATTTTTAAGATCTTTTAAACTTTAAAAATGTGGGTAAGTTACTATTTCTATTTAATACTCTTAAAAATTTAATAAGGCAAATAATATGAACAAATATTATATTGAAAGTAAAAATCATTTTTAAAGTAAACATCATGTTTTCATTAAATCAAATTTTTGTAACCTCCCATCAATTTCTAAATAACATACCCCTTCAGATATTACTCTTTAAAAATTATCAAACAAAGTCAACTTAACTCATACCTTGTATAGAAGTCTTAGGTCACCAGATTACTTTAATCCTTCATACCCCACTGTTTACTCAACACTTCAGGGGATAGATTAGAAGCCGATAGTTCTCCACGGATCTTCCTAATAATTATACACAATATATCAAGTTTGGATAACGATTGTTTAATAATTTTTCTAGAGCTTTTCTCTTCTTTGGGTAATACTAGTACTCCACCCATCCGATGCACGGGGTGAATATATACATACATACATACATACATACATACATACATATATATATATATATATATATATATATATATATATATATATATATAATATATATATATATATATATAGAGAGAGAGAGAGAGAGAGATTTTGAATCCGGTGCAACCCCCCTAGCCAGGTGAGTTCGTGAGCCCACATTTTGTGCGTTTATTTTTTTCAACGTTTGAGATTGTTTTCACTTGGATTGCACGTGCTAGTGGGTTTTTATGAAGCTAGGGGTATTTTTGTCCTTTCTCACTGCTTTTATTACTGCCAATTTATTTTATTTCCCCGTTTGTAAAGATATTTAGCGGTACTTTCGGCCTTCTCGATTTCCAATATCTCTCTCTCTTAATCATTGTCTCTTCAGGGCGGTATTTTCGGCCTTCTCGATTTCCAATATCTCTCTCTCTTAATCACTTCTCTTCAGGTCTCCTAATCCCACGGCTTCCCTCTGTTTTGGCGAGCGAGTTTCTTTTCCGGTGGCCGTCGGAACGTGTCGTGCAAGTAGTATCCATGGCCGGTTCTTCTACCAGGCGTTCTAAGCGTCAAAAGGACAGTTCTTCTCGTTCCCCTTTAGGTATTCCGAGATCATATTCTACTGGTTTGATTTTCTCTTTTGTTTTTTTTTTTTTTTGTAAGTCGTTATATGTAATACATTTTCCAGCGTGGGGTGTTTGGTGGTTTTTGGTCTCGGTTTCTAGGGTTTTTGCGTGGTGATTTTTTTTTTTTTTTTTTTTTTTTCTTTTTGTATATTAGTTCCTGATTTGGGATTTTTGTATTGATTTGAAGGTGTTTGGGTTTTAATCGAGTTTCTTTGTTTGTGCATGTGGATTTTTTTGGGGGGGTTTTCAGCGATTGGTGGTCTTGGCGTGGGGGTTGTATTTTCTGGGTTTTTTTTTTTTGTAGGGGGGGGGGGGGGGGGGGTGGGGCGGCGTCGGGTGGAGTGTTGGGGGTGATGGGCGGTATGCTAGCTGGGTTAGGGTTTTCATTCATTGAGTCGGTGCATGTGTGTTTTTTTTGGGTGTTCTTCTACGGTTGGTGGGTTTTGGGCAGGGGGAGGGGGGGTGTGGCTGGTGTTTTCGGGGGGTGGGGGGCAGCAGGCGTGGTGGTGATCGGAGATATGGTAGCTGGTTTAGGGTTCCTTTAGCTGGTTTTTTTTTTTTTTTTTTTTATATAGATTTTTTTGGCATTTTCGTGGTGGGGGGCGGTGGAGGTGGGGTTTGTTTTTCGGTTTGTGGATTTGTTTTGCATGGTGGTTTTATTAGTGGTTTTCAAACGTATTATTTTGTCTGTTCTTGTATTCCTGTTGGGGGTTTGTGTTGTTTGGTAAAAGTGTTTGAGGGGTCAAAGGTAGGTTATGTCCGGTTTGTGCGTAGTTGTGCGTCACCGCGTGTAAAGTTGTCTAATCTGGTATTGGCATTACTGTTTTAAGTTTTAGTTTTATTTTTTTTTTATTATTATTTTTTTTTTTGGTGTTTAGTGGTTGAATGTTTTTTTTTTTTTTTTTTTTTTTGTTTTTGGATTTAGTTTTAATGACATTTGGTAGATATAGTGTGGTGTAAACATCCCTGGCTTTTGTGTGTTAACATTTATTAACTCAAGACCAATTTCTAATATCAATATTCAGTAAAATCTAAGACCCAAATATTAATACACCGCAAATTATGCCGTGGAAACGTGTTCACCATGCTTGGTGAACACGGTCCCAAACAGTATCGTTTTTACCGAAAAAAAAAATAAAATTAGTTAATGTGCTGTTAACGGCGTTTTGCATTATATGTTCAGATTATGAATTTACATTTATTAAATTATAAATTTTCTGTTATGAGATTATGAATTTATAGTTATGTAATTATTAATTTTTTGTACATTCATAATCTCATAACAGAAAATTCATAATCTCATAACAAAAAAACATTTATTAAATTATGAATTTTCTATTATTAGATTATGAATTTACAGTTATGTAATTATGAATTTTCTGTACATTCATAATCTCATAACAGAAAATTCATAATCTCATAGCAGAAAATTCATAATTTCATAAAAGAAAATTCATAATCTCATAAAAGAAAATTCATAATTTCATAACTGCACATTCATAAATCCATGCATGCACATTCATAATTTATGAGTGTTGAAGAAACTTGCGCGAAGAGGAAGTGAAACTGCAAAATGTGAATATGAAGAAGAAAAGTCGCGCTGTTAATCAAAAAAAAAAAAAGATTGGTGGAAGATAACGATGCCCGTGGGCACCGTTACCATTTGGGACTGTGTTCACCATGGATGGTGAACATCGTTCCATGGCATAATGATTGTTAATACACAGCCCAAACAAATAACCAAACCCACAAACAAAATACCTAAAAAATCTAATTTTTTTTTTTAAAGGACGAAACGACATATTGCTACAATTGCAGCTCCACTATCGCACTGCCTGCTTCTTCTCACCCTTCTCTCCTTGCCGTTCGCTCATTCTGGAAACTTCACTCCCAAATCTCTTCTCTCGTCGTCGTTCTCTCCTAGCCTTTCATGCATCCAAAAATTTCTTCCATAATCCATTATTTCTGGCCGGAAATGTTATCGGACCAGAACTACCACACGGTTAAATCCCAAAAAACCCTAACATTCGTTCCTCCGTTCTCAGATGTAAATTTTCAGTCTATAACCTAACTTCTTGTTCGCGATCTATATTCCCTTACTCTCACATTCTACACTTCACAATACTACCTTCTATAACCGGTTATTTTCAATCGTAGACCTAATCAGTTGAAAAATCATGCCAGATTACACAAACCCAAAACCCTAATCTGCTTGTAAGTGTAAAATTTAATGCACATTAAAACCCTATATGTTGGCTAATTTATTTGTCAAAAATAATTTAGAAACATGTGAAATATTATCTACAAACGTGTGGCATGAATTGGTGGTCAAACAGGTTATTGGAAGTGAAGCTATAATTAAGTGATTGATTATTGTTTATGGTTATGATTGATTTGAATGGGTGGCCAGCATTAACATGAGAGAAGATTGGTTTGAAGCTACAACATTATAAAAGGAAACTCTTTCCAGCTTTATTGAGATACACGAATTACCATATTGACAAATTGAAAGGGAAATTTCTAAATACACTTCAAATTGCTATATTAACTAGCGTATTATCATTGTTGAAGCAGTCTGCTGAGTCAGGTTCAACATCAACTCTTGAAGCTTGTGATGGCATGCACGTACCAATCCTGTGCGGGATGTTAGGAAGGTTGTAGTGGTAGTAGTGGTTGATCGCCTTATGTACTTACCCCATGTAAAACACCTCGGTGAACATCTAGTGGATTGAGCAGATGTAAGTTGCTCCGCAGACGTAGGAGAAGTGCTCCGAACTGCGTGATCAATTCCGGTGTACTTTTTTTTATGGCTTTTATTTCGTTATTTATTTTCGTTAAATAACTAAATTAATTGGTACGGTAATATCTATTCTAAAATCAAGTAGAATATTTAGTTGTAATTTGAAT